TGAAAAGTCACACAGCTGGTAAGTAACTGAGCTGGAGTGTGAATTCCAGTTTACTGGCTCTTAAAACCATACCAATTCCCCTGCACTCTGATATGGTATTTCTCAAACTTCCCACTTCAGGGTCAGGTGAATGCTTGTTAAAAATTTCATCCTGGGTCTCACTGCAGATCTGTAGAATTACAATCTTCTAGAAATGAGTACAGGAATTCTTTCCAGGTGAATCTAATCAGTCAAGTAAATGCTATTTTAATTCCTTACATGCTTGTCTTAATCCAGTAATCCTTAGCAAGCCAGGTCCTAAGAAAGTCTTTTCTTTCAATAAAAAAATTTTAATTTGGAATCATTTTGGATGTACATGTAAGTTGTAGAAATGAGAGAGTTCTCATATACTAATAAGACAGGAAGAGAGAGCATGGCTCAAACTGGTTGGTAAAGGAGGCAGGACAAGATCCTGGAACACGTGTAGAACAGTTCCCAAAACCTTGCATGTGGACTTCTCATGAAAACTCAGGTAGGTGTTTGATAAGATGACCTAGATGTGTCCTCAGCCTGAGGAGTGGGTGGTACAAAAAGGGCAGTCCACATTGGGTTTTTGCCACTGTGTTCTCTCTTGCATAGATGGCCCACACTCACCCTGTAGTGTGTACTTCTTTTTCTACCTTTAATAAAATTTTGCTATGGTTTGTGCTTGTCTTGATCAATTCTTTGCTCAGGAGAAAAAGAATCTAGAAATCACCTCAGAAGGAGACTCCAGCACCCCAAAACCTGACATCACTACCTTTTGCCTAGTTTCGCTCTAAAGCTAACATCTTGCAAACCATGTACATTTGTCAAAACTAAGAAAATAATGTTGAACAATTAATATTAACTGAACTTCAGGCTTTATTCAGATTTCACCAAAATTTACCTACATGTTTTTTTACCCAGGATCCAAAGCAGGATACTTCAGTGCCTTTACTGGAGAGCCTTTTGGTAGTATATATGTTCTGTACTAAAGCTAAACACGTATATATCTAACAGCATAGCAATTGCCCTCCTATATTCATGTGTAGCAAATGGCATGCACACAAATGTATACAGTAGCACTCTTTAGTGGAAGCAAAACCTAGAAACAACCCACTGATAATAGAATTGATAGATAAATTATAGACTATGTGATGGAATACTATATAGCAATAAGAAGGAACTATTTTGCATGTGTAAAAATGCTGGTGCATAGAGCAAATATCATTTTAGAAATGATACCATGCAAACAAGGGCACACACTGTATGTTTCCACTTCTATAAAATCAAGACAGGCAAAACTAATCTGTAGCATTTGAACTTGGGATAGGTTTAATGGACATGTTAGACACATTTTAATCCTTACAAAGAATACCTGAGAAAGGGGTAATTTTTTCACAGTTTTGGAAATTCTAGTTCATGCTCACTTGGTCCTATGTCTTTGGAAGAGGTTGTTCATCATGGCAGGAGTATAACCATCACCTCATGCAGGAAGTGAGAAAAGAGGACGGGACTGGGGTCCCATAGCCCCCTGTGGAGGGAGACCCCCAGGGACATAAAGACTTCCCACTAGGCTCCACTTCTTGAAGGTTCCACTGCCTCCTGAGAGCACCACCGTCGGCATCAAGCCTTTACCCCATGGGTCTTCAGACCCAAACTGAGGCAGTGGGGGAAGTGACTGGGAGGGGGCAAGAGCTGTGGGGGTTTCTGGACTATTCTATTTCTTGGTCTGGATGCTGGTAACACGGGTGGCTTTGCTTTGTGAAAATTCAAGCTATGCACTCAAGATTTGTGCAATCTTTTGTGTTTCTTTAAATTCATTTCTTACACACACACACTCACACACACACACACATGGGCTTCACCCTCACTGATTGAATCAGAACCTCCACAGCTTCTGCTCAGCCAGATAGATTTTTAAAAAGCCCCATAAGTGGTTCAAACAAGTAGGCCAGCTTCATGAATATGTGAACTGTGTAGTCACCAACAGTCACACTCAGCAGTGTGCGTGCCTTAACGCTGGCACGTCTTGAACTTGTAATTGTTTTGTTTGACCTGTGTTTTGTAGGTGAAGTTCTGCATACCATGCATGTCTGCTGCTCCCTGCAATGTCATTCCAGGCCAGTGGACTCACAGCTGTAGGTATAGAGAGAGACTCAACACCATGCCAAGGTAAGGGTGTCAAGTCTGTAACTGAGTAGGCAGGGAGCTGATGGTCCCAAAGACCATGCTCTCTTCCAACCAGAAGTTACTTCAGATTCAGAAAGAAGGCAAAGAGTTCTGTAAATACAGCAAGTCAAGGACCCCGATCATATCCTACTTTATACCTGTTAGGTCCATGCAGTAAGCAACCATTTACCCTGGAAATGATGGTTCAAAGGGAAAGGAAAAGAGAGGACAGCCTGAGTCCTTTCCCTCTGGTCCATGCTTCCTCATCTGCAAGCTCGGGACAGAAACTGGGGTTGAATGTGCACATAGCTACTGTTCTGGTAAGAATGAGATTCATATGCATGCACAAGCCAGCAAACACAAATTGTATAATTCATGTGATTTTTTTTTTTTTGAGACAGGGTCTCTCTGTGCAGTTCAGGCTGGCCTTGTTCTCACTTTGTAGCCCAGGCTTGTCTCAAACTTGCAACGATCCTCCTGCCTCAGCCTCCCGAGTGCTGGGATTATAGGCGTGAGCCACCACACCCAGCCCAATTCATGTGATTTCATGCATAGAGTTAAATGCTCTTCCATTTGTCTTTAGCATTGGCAGTGAATACTATAAAGATGAACATGATAAAATCATGCTCATAATTTAAAATTCTAAATTTTATTTACTTAGAGGGACACTAAGTAATGAAAAGCACATAACAGGTCAAGTTGCAGGCTGGAGAAGGTGGCAAAAACTTTGTTAGTTCCTTAGCTGCGCTCCCTCCAGCTTGTGAACAGAGAGCCCCACATTTTTATTTTGCACTGATTCCCAAGACTTATGCAGCCAGTGCTGCTGACCTCTGACCCAGAGCTGCTGAGTCAGCGAAGCCCCTGAATTGCTGGGGCCCACGAGTGGAAGAGCACTTGGAGGAGACTTCCTGCCATTCAGCACAATGACAGCAGTGGAGGAGGCTCATTCTACTTTAACCACCCCTGCCTGCTCGCCTGACCCAGGCGTCCCTGGATAACTGCTAGATAAGGCCCAGGGCCCAGCAGGAGTCCTGTTGGATCTTCCCAGTGGCCAAGAGCTTTTGATGTGAAAAGTGAAACAGCAAAGGCCACATCAAGTGGCACTTTGACATTTGACCTGGCCCAGGAGTCTGGCTTTTTCATGTACCACTCTATGTCCGACTACTTCATTGTTTAGGTGCACCGGTGGGCAACTTTTCTTTTTGGCTTAAGTATGAAATCAAAGAAGTATCTTTTGCATCCGCTCTCCCTGCCAATTCATTCAACACAAATGGGCGTGTCTGTGCAAAGGCAGCTCAGTGGGTTTGGGACAGCAGCTTTAATTTATGTCTAAAAACAAATTAGCCTAATGGAGCAGAACAAATACAAATGGTAGTACAGCCAACATGCCCCCAGAAACCAAGCGTGGCTCTGAGGCCAGTTAATGAGCTCGATGCCGTGTTCTACTCGGAAATGCTCTTTGCCATGTGCCTTTTTGGGTGAGCTGTTCCTTTTGAAAAAGATTGTCAGCAGGGGTGTGAAGTCTATCCTTTCCCATGGAGTGGTCCATGGGGCACATGGAGACAGATGCCGGCTTTAAGTATGGGCTGCAATGCTTCATGTGCCAGGTAAGTGTGGGTGACAGGGTGCAGGATTGCTGGTCCTTGTCCTGGTAGGACACTAGACCAAGGTTGGGCACAATGACATGTTGGCAGCTGGGACCTCACCCCACAGCCTGCCGGTCACTGTTTCACCATCCTCTTTCCCTTTTGCTCCCCACCCAGCCTCACCAGCTGCAGCTCCCACCCACTCCTAACTTAGACTCAAGCAGCATCTTGTTTTTGGAATTGTACAGTTGTTTCCCACCTGGCCTTCCACCTCCTTCAACCTACCTGCTATGTAAAGGAATGAAAGAATTCCTTTAAAAACTCAACTTTGATTGTTCAGATCCTTGGATTAAAATCCATTATCGTGGAGTTGTGAGGATACCGTTTTTCCCTTTGGTACTTGCTCTGGTCTCAGTGTGCTGCCCAAATTCGTTCACTGAAATTTCATCACCAATTTGATGGTGCTAAGGGGTGGGGCCGTCAGGAAGTGATTAGTCACTGAGGCAGAGTTCTCAGGAACGGGATGGATGCCTTTATAAAAGATATGAAAGGAGTGCTTAAGGCCTTTCTGCTCCCATCATGTGAGGCTGCAGCCTTGAAGCTGCCATCTTGGAAGCGGAACCCAGTCCCTCACAAGACCCTGAGCCCGCCAAGGGCTTGCTGTTGGACTTCCAGCCTCCAGAAGAGTGAGGAATACATTTCTGTTATTTTTTTTAAGTAGCCAGTCTCAGGTGTTCTGTTACATCAGCACAAATGGATTAGGATAGTACTCAAGGTCCCTACTGCTCTTTCTGGACCGTTTTCCCCTCATCTACCAGCAAGACTTGTTCCCTTGCCTCCTTCAGAACGTGTTTCAAGTGTTCAAACCAAAATGTACACTGTATTTTGCCCTAGCACTCACTGCATAACTCATGCTACACTTCAGTCATGTCCTTTATGTCTTCTCTTCACCCTCACCCTTACTCACCCTGGGTCATTATCGCATCTGTGAAGGCAGGGACTTGTCTCGGTTTTGTTTGCTGCTGCATTCCCACCCCTAGCACATTGTCTGGCCCACTGTCTGAGTTCAATAACTATTTCTTCATTGGGTCTGAGCCTAGCTGACTTCTCTAGCTTTATTCCCTGCCACATCCCTGCAAAGTCCCTGTGCCCCAGCCACACTCCATCCACAAGGAGCTGCGTTGTGCCTCCACACATTAGCACATACGACCTGCTACTGGCAGGGAACAAACTAGCACTCACATAGTTCAGTCTTCTATCCACGGGGCTTCACTTGTTATTTCCTTCAAAGAACTCCTTGCAGAAGATTTTCCCCAACTTCCTAGGAACTGAATGCGGCTTCTGCATTCCTGAAGACTCCAGCTTCCTGGTGCCTGGCCTGTTCCAAAACAAACTTCTCCTCAATTTGCCAAGCTCTGAATTCCTTACATTAACGACAGTGTCGTCTGATTAACTATAGCATAGGTGTTAGGTATGAAGACTTTGACGAGGTTTTGATTTACTCAGACAAAAATAATTCATTCTGGGAAAATTCCATGATACTGTCTTTGTCATAAAAAAAATGCAAACACATAAAATAGCAATAATAGTCCAATAAAAGGAACTAAGCACAGGAAACAGAGAGAGAGTAAGAGAGAGAGAGAGAGACAGAGAGAGAGACAGAAAGAGAGAGAGAGAGAGAGAATGAGAATCACTAGAGGAGTCAGGAAGGACATAGTAACCTTCCAGGTCAGGCCCCAGGCCCAAGAGACCAACCCTCCTCTTCCACCCAGGCTGACCTCCTAACAGCAAGACAGCTACAGACCCTTATAATCCAATCATTTTCCAGAGGTCCCACCTATGATTAAACAAGGCTTTAGGGGGACATCTAGGTATGAACCATAACATTTATCATCTACTTTTGTGGCTTAGAAATTATCAGTCGTTCACAATGTTGCTTTTTATTCTTAGTTTAATTATTTTAAAGCATATCTTAGACACCATTTCATTTCACTGTATTTCAAAATACCTCATGGGTATAGAATATTATATGTAGTGGGTATACATAGACCCATACATATATTTATTCATATCTATATCCATACATATATTTATTCATATCCATACCCACAATATCCTTAGCATCCCTAACAAAACTAACAATAATTCACTAAAAATATAATAAAATTTTCAGAGGTGTTTGTGAGACAGCTTTTCTGTACTTCTGTAATTATATAACGGAACAGAAGTAATGCCCTACTAAGAAAGATATGTGTATGCATTTCACCTCACACATTTTAGCTGGAAGCTTAAAATGCCTCATCCTTTCTTTCTGGGTTGCTTGTGAAATTGTCTTCTTGAGAGCCTCTCAGTCAGTACTGCTTTGGAGAATTGGGTCCCCCCAACCATCTGCCAGCCCAGGGAAGACTGGCACCTGTGCGCCCCATCTGTAGTGGCCTGAAGGCCAAGGTTAAGGATGGGTTTATGGGGTGAGGTATTCCATTTTCTAGTTTCCTTTTGGCCCTGGTATCTCATAGACATAAAGACGGGTAGCCATGAGGGGAAGACATTCAGATTAGCTCAAGCCTTCTAAGTCCCAGTGTCACGTACCTGTCTCATAGGGCCAGGGAGAGCCCATCAAATAGACATCAGACTTGAAGAACAATATGCCTGGCAGAGCCTCTTTTGCCTACAAAAGCACTTAGCGCTGGGTGTGTCCTCCCTGCAGGATTCTCCTGGCTGCTTCGAAGGCCAGTGCTGGGGAGCCTGGAGCTCATAACTACTCCAACCACACAGCGATCCCCCCCTTTTTGGAGCCTTCCCTGCCCACCCCTGAAGATCATTTCCTTTCCTTCTCAAGCACTGCTTGTTTTTGCTCGTTGCTAAGCAGCAAGGCGCTCCCTGGCTGCGGGCGGCCGCCTCTCCTCTGGCTGTGTGATTCACATTCAGATTCAAATTAACCCCATGTGGCCAGACATCCATTAAAAACCTGGAGCTGTGTGTCTGTAGGGAGGAGCCCCTCCAGCAGCCCGTAACAAGCCTCACCCTGCTCTTTTCTAGCACTGTTCCCTTTCTTGAAGGCAGGGACAAGGGGTGGAGGAGTCTCCATGGCCACCACAGGCACTTGGCTTTGAGTTCTGGCCCCACCACCTACCGCAGCAACCCAATGACTTTTAAGAAGTGACTGGCTCTTTCCAACTAAGTCTTGGTTTTCTCAGTTGTCAAAGGGGGTAATAACATAACAGCTTCTGCAAGTGTCCATTCTGAGGCTTGAAGGAGTCCAGTGTGCAGAATGTTCTGCAAAGTCCACTACGTGGTAAGAACTCAGGTTAGGTGCTACTAATACAATAGGGAGGGCACTGACATATCTATTGTTTGGTTACTTTTCTCATCCCTGGACAATCCTGACACCAATAACTTAAAGGAGGACAGGCTTATTTTGGTACGCAGCTTGTGTAAGTTTCAGTCTTTGGTCAGCTGGTTCCGAAGCAGGATGGCATGGGACAGGGGCAAGGAAGAGAAACAGCTGCCCAAGGCACGGCATAAAGGAAGGAGAGAGAGAGAGAGGTGCACGGGCGGAGCCAGGAAGGAGATCTAACCTTTCAAACTGCATCCTTCCAGGCCCCACCTCCTAACACCAATTCAGCTATAAATTCCAGTAATCCAATCACCTTCCGAAGGTCTCATGTATGACTAAACGAGGCTTTAGGAGGACAGCTAGACATAAACCACAACACTTACCATCTGTGTCTACAACAGTATTAGTGATCTGCTTGACCTGGTAATATTTCTACTTTGGGCTGAAACACAGAGAAAGAGAGATAGAGCAACTTGTTCAGTGACAAACAGCTAACCTTGCACCGCAGTCTGCTTCCCTAATGACTGACATGTTACATTTCTACTGCTTTGTCACTGGGTCCCAGAGATATCTAAATCTCAAAATCAAGTCTACCCCATTTTCTTTGGAAAAGAGAAATTATTTACAAGCAAATGACTCCATGGCTCTTGCTTCTTGCTTTGAAACAGCTTCACTTCTGATCGATACTAAATCATCCCCAAGATGCAAATGACGTGTGCACCTATTCTCAGGCTGGCTTAATGGAAATGAACAAATAATAAGGACTTCGATCCAAGCGGGGACAGCAGAAATGGAACAGGAAAAAATTGACCTTGAAGTACATGGTACTACACCATGCGTCCAATCCATGTGACGGGGCCATAAGAAAGCTGAATTTCATAAAGGAAAAGATAATGAGAGGGTGTCTTACCACCCATGAAAAAGTAGACGATTTAAAATCTTTTCCTACAGCCTCTTAATGATACTAATTCCCACACGGCTCTCTCTTTTTAGAGTCAGCTCCTTCAGCTGGTTGCCAAGAAGGCAGAGGCACACATGGACTCCTTGAAACTACTCTTTCACTTTAGGCTGTTTTTAGCCCCAGGCTGTGCTTCACCAAAGCCTAGTCCTGGTCTCTCCCGGGAACCAAGTGAGCAGAAGTATGACAGGATTTCCAACTCTAAGACCACTCAACACTAAGTGGCATTTGGGTATTATTTTCATAATTTTTGTTATACCCTGCACTATTACTTAGTGAATTTTTTAAAAAATTTACTCAGCTTGTAATTTGCAAAGTTTAAAAATACTATTAGATTAGTTAAGGTGGGATATGCTTTGCTGCAATAACAAATAAACCCAGAAGCTGGAGTTGCTTAATACAGCAAAGGTTTATTTTTTATTCTTGTAAGATATGATGGTAGCCAGATGACTTTCCATGGCAGCTTTTCTTGAAGATACACAGTGAAATTTAGGTCCTGGCTCCCTCTGTCCTGCAATGCCACCTTCTCAAAAAATGGTTTCTGAGCCACTTATACGGAGGAAGAGTGGCTGGCGGGCTGTACACTGGCTTCTCAGTGCTGTGGGAACCCACATGGTTTCCTCTGATGTTCCACTGGTCACAGGGCCTCTCCTGGCTGCAAAGAGCTGGAAGTAGACATGGCACAGGGCTAAGCTCAACTGCCTCTGCCGCACTGATGGAAAGTGAAAGATAGACATTGCCACTGGCCGTGAAGGAGAAGGCTCACCAGCGGCAGTCAGGAGAGCAATGTATTTAATTTTGGACAGGTATTTTTACCCCTGAACATCGTAGTCTGAGATTTAGTTTGTCCAAAAAATACTATGTGGGTAGATGAGAGAAAGAGAGAGACAGAGACAGAGACAGAGACAGAGACAGAGAGAGACTTTCTCTCCAAAGAAATCAGAAAGATCAAAATAAAATTTTGTAAATGGGCTGGGGATGTAGCTCGATGGTAGAGTTCTTTCCTATCATCCACAAGGCCCTGGGCTCAATTCCGAATACTGCCAAAAAATTTTAAAATGAACTACTTTTAAAGTCACATTTATTTTTAACCAATATCACATCAAAAACACAGTACATGTAATGCTTCAGTATTCTTGTTACATGTTCGTTGTTACCTGTGCTCTCCCTAAATCATCTCTCCTTCCCTTAAAGCCATCGGGGCAGTGTCCCACGTACCAGTCTGCTCTGGGCCACGCGCCCCGCAGGCCTGGCCAGCTGTGGCCTCGGAGAACTGTGCAGGGAGACTGGCTTTGCTCGGGCTGCTGAGGACACAGAATTGGCAATGACAGTCTTGCCCTCGTGGTTTCACAGATGGGGAGACAGGAGCACAAACCCATGGTTACAGCACAGCATGAGAAACTCACTCAGGCAGCTGCACGGTGTCAGTGGGGTTGGTATTTGGGGAGCGAGCCTGAGGGTCAGCAGGTTTTTCAGAGGCAATTCTGTCATCGCTTCGTTGGGTGCCAGTCACTGTCTGATCTTGTTCCTTTCTGTTTTTCAGTGCACGAGTGGCCTTGTGTTCCTGGGAAACCCACTGGTGGGACAAACGCTAAGTGGCCCAGCACTTCCTAGCTACTTTCACGGAGTGCCCTTGAGGCATCAGTGTGGGGAAGCCAAGCTGCAAGTCATGGAGAAGCTGAGTGATAGTGTCAGGTCAACCTTGTGGTTACGGAGTGAAGTTTTTAAATGCAGGAGAAGAAGGGGTAACATGGGGCTTAGATGAGGAGGTCCCGGTCCTGCGGCTGTGTTGTGCACCATTAACTCTGGGCGCAGTGGGCATCTTAGTGAAATCAGAGTTTTGGACCAAAGCTGGAGTTAGTTCCTGCACTGAGGGCCCCGATTCAGAGGGTGCTCTCCACTCTAGTCCATTGCCTGTGGACTGATGACTTTGGGGTTCTTGCTCTGTATGTTCAGGCTTTGCTTGTCCATCCTCTGTTATTCTAGTGCGTTTGGCTTGCACATTTAGGAGCTGGGGAATTGGTACTGACCTCTTCAGTAATGCATTTCTGTTTATGTCTTAGTACTTACTGTGTATCAGGTAATGCACCAGATATTTTTGCACTACTAATTTGATGTTTACAATGATGGGTAGGTTTCATGCCCATTTTAAAGATGGGAAAAACCAGGCATGGTGGCTCATGCCCATAATCTCAGCACTCAGGAGGCTGATGCAGGAGGATTGTTGTGAGTTTGAGACCAGCCTGGGTTACAAAGTGAGTTCAAGGCCAGCCTGAACCACCGAGTGAGACCCTGTCTCAAAAGGACAAAAGTAAATAAATAAATAAATAAATAAAATAAAGATGGGAAAGCCAAGGCACTGGCAAGCAAAGTAACTTGCTCATGGTCCTTTAGCTTTGGAAGCACAGAGCAGGATTCGGTCTGAGACGATGTGGATCTAGAGTTTATAGTCACCTTCCTGCACCTCTCTGGGCAAAATAGTTGAAAGTATAATAATTAGATGAACAATGTAATCATGACATGTGAAAAAGAAGTTTTCTTTTTAAATTGAAAATGATAAGACAATGATAGATATTGCAGTGCTCATGAGCTAAATATTTTTGGAGAAGAACAAGAAGGTAATCATGCAGGACAGAGAGAGAGAAGAGAGAGAGAGAGAGAGAGAGAGGAGGGAGAGAGAGGGAGAGATGGAGAGGCTGTCTAAACCCTCTGGACCCACCCTGTACATATGTCAGTTCATTTGTTCCTCCTGATACCCATAGGAGGATGGAGCCATTATGTCCCTACTTGTAGGCGAGGCTGAGTGACATGTTTATGGCCACACAGCTTGGAAGTGGCAGAATCCAGGTCTCAAACCAAGTGCCAGAGGCAGAGGGGCTGTTCCCACTCACAGCCTGGGCCCTTCACAAGCAGGACTCAGGAATCCACCCTGCAGGGCCCGTGAGTCCAGGCCTCAGTGAGCCGATGTCCGGCTGTGAACAAGTCTCCCTGCTGTAGGGATCTGAAAGACAGGCTTATCTGTCTCCATGCGGGACAGGTGCTGTGCAC